CATTCATCAAAAATATTCAGTCTCAGAAAGTCCCAAAAACTCAAATTCTAGAAGCATCCAAATATCAAAAGACAGAACTTTGCCACTGCTTCACTACTAAGTGTATTAAAAGTATATTTCCTTCATTTCTATTCATAGTATGTTTGGAATCCAAATGAAACAAATAATTTTATTTTTATGACAACGAGCTCAGGCCACATTCAAGATAGTACCTTGGACTTATTGGGGATGTGGGGTGATTATAAAACTTGCACACATTCGCAGTAAGTCAAGAATTGTCTCACTTGTGACCCAATCTCAATTTCCCAACTAGATAGATGAAATGATTCCATTTCATTGCAATGTTCATCTTTGGGTCCCCATTGCAGTTAATACTTCAAGAGATTTTATCAATGGCAGTGCCAAGATGCCAAGGGAGTCAGTCCCAACAAAGATCTGGGATAGAAACCATATGGGTACTTCTTGCTCCCAAGCTCTCCTGTAAAAATTTTCTTCAATGTTTTTGATATTTGGAAGCCTTTCGTTGAAGTCTAATTTCAGAGGCCATGACCCGATTCAGTACTAGGAGTAACAACTACCAACCGTGATATTATGGGTTCGACTACAAGATCAGCCATTTTGTGCAAAACAACGACAAAAGTTGGGTTCATAACAGTTTGTGAAGTGAGTGAAGACAATGGTAGGATGAATACCTGAACTTAGAAGAGAGAGGGCATTGTTTGAGCAATGCGCCAGCGATAACACGACGGTGGTAGTGCCGTCACCGGCTACAACGTCCTGGGACTTGGAGAGCTCAACGAGGAATTTAGCGGCGGGTTGGAGGACTTCCATCTTATTCAAAATGGTTGCGCCGTCATTGGTGATTATGACCTCGCCAGAAGCCGTGCAGATCATCTTGTCCATACCCTTAGGACCTAAGCTCGTCCGGACAGCACTGGCAACCGATTGCGCCGCCGCTATGTTCGCCATTCGGACGTCGTCTTTCCGCTTGTTGTCCGTGAAGGTCTCGGTCTTCGAAGGGCCTGAGCGTGGGGCTTGGACGACCGCTGGGGCAGCCATTGTTGATCAGATCGCTTAGTTCAGAGTCTTTAGAGAGTGGGTTCGTGAGAGAAAAAGTGTGCGTGTGCGGGTAAATGATATAGAAACCCTAGAATAGATAGAAAAGGAGGGAGAGTAAGAGGTGGGCTTGGAGTTTTGGGTAGAGTTCGAGAGTGTTCGTAAAATTACCAGAATGGATATAAGGTAGAGGAGGTGATTGGTTGGGGGATAATTTTATTGCATAAGGATGTTTGTGCTTTTGGTATTAGGGCAACTTTAAAGGGTTGTTATTTTGGGTGTCAAATTACTTATTTATAATTTTGAATAATATTTTGGTATCTTTGAATTATAAATCTGTTTTAATGACAGGTGTTAAAATGAGGTATCATTTTAATATTTCTATTAAAAAATATAATTAAACTTAACTTCAGTTGCAACTTTTCTCTCTTTTTACTGTAATCTTGCAAAACAAATACATAAATTTTTTATGCAATATCTCTCTCTCTCTCCAAGTTTGAAAAATTATCACCCCAAGAGCATTGTTGTCATTTTCAACCCTTGATGTCACTCTCATTGAAGTGAAAAATTTTGAATTTAGAGTGACATTTTGACAATTATATGCAGTTATGGGATTGTCACTCCCCCTTAGAGTTGCTCTTAAGAAAAAAGGATTGAAAAAAAAATTATGTCTCATCCTATCCTCTTCACTCTCATATTTGAATATTAATAATTGTTCGTACTTGAATGTACTATGTTACTCATAAAACATTATAAATATTTATTTATAAATAAAGACAATGTATAATATAATTTTAACAATATAACGATCATATTGATATTGTTCAAATTATATGCAGAATATATATTATCAAATATTTATATAACGAAAGTCACGATACGACTTTGTAACATATTTATTCAAAAATCTGAGAAAATATAACTATTATTAATCAAACATCCATAATTTTAACATTTTTAATAAACTTTATCTCAAATTTCAAAAAAATATAACTATTTATTTTTCTACAAGTTTTTACCTAAAATTCATAACTTTATCTCTGCATTATTTTTTAAAAGTAAGTTCGTGTAACTTTTGTAAGGAAAACATTCAAAAGTTTCACGAGAATTCTCATAAATGAAAAAAAAATTAATGAGAAATTAAAATCAATTTCCATTTGAATTCAACGTAAATATTCATAAAATTCATTCGAATTTAAGTTTAAGTAAAAATTTATACTTTATACTCGACAGTCAAATTCAGCTCAATTTAAGTTTTAATCATAATTACGTCAAATCGAAAATTGAATTTAAATTCGACTCAATTAACATTTCTATTTTAAACCTACAAACTAATTTTTATCTACTCCCCATTCACATTAACACCATAATTTTTTTAATTTAATTATTCTTTATTATTTTTACAATCAATTTCAATTTGACTTCAACTTGAATACTTGCAAAATTCAAGCAGAGTTAAGTTTAAGGAAGAATATATATTTTAGACTCGAAAATCAAATTTAGCTCAATTTAAATCCTAATTATAATCACTTCAAACCAAAAATCAAGTAAAATGAAAAGGATTCTTGTAATTTTTGACCTGAAAAAAAAAATTGGAATAGTTTCGATCATTTGATCAAATAATCTGAGTCGGAAAAAGTTCAAGACAAATAATGCTAACTCCCTTAGTATATAGATATATCATGAATTAAATATATATTATTCACCTATTATACTATTCAAATATTATAGTATTTTTATTTCAATACAAAAGATGACCTATATTATAGTCATTCGAATCGTTTTGATATAAAAAATCTCTATTAAGATCCATTTGTTTATTAAAAATAATCTTTAATTATATAGAATAATAATTAATGACCTAATTAATGTGTAGAATGAGATAGAGAGAGAGAAAGGGGTTATAAGAGAGATAGGAGTTATAGAATTGTGGATAAAATGAAAGTTTTGTTCAAAAAATTGGGGGGGTGATTTTGCATTAGAACCGTCGGATCAATAATTTCTTCAAACTATCTGAGCCGTGAAAAGTTCAAGACAAACAATCTAGCTACTTTATTGTGTAGATATATTTTGAGCCTGATATTATTACCTAAAAATAATTAAGGCCCAGATAAATAATGCATTTGTAGTCACATACACCTTCTTAAATAAACTCACCTATTTGGTGGGTTAAATAGTACGATTGGGGTATGTTTTGGCAAAAAATATTTTTATTCTCAAGAATCTCTAGAATATAATTATCGTAATGGTTATTTAATAATTTAATATTTATACATTCAATACTCCATCCAAACATAATATTAGATGAGATAAATATGGGGTTCACTACTTCTTAATACTTGAATCAAACATGAGATAAGGAGACATTATCACTATAATTAGTCCAAAGTCTAGATGGATGGATATGATATGGATGAGTTTGTCCAATTCAGTACTTTCTAATACCTAAATCAAACACACCCTGATAGGCATCTTTTGGCAACAATTCGGGGAAGAGGCACGACTTGCAACACGACCCATTTGTTGTTAGTGAAAACAATGTTATTTTGGGCAAAATGACATCGTTCTATTTAATGGTCAGCTAAAATGGGAGGACTTGTCGTTTGTTCCCACTGCAAATGTAGATTATGAATTACAATATTTGATTACATATTTAAGAAAAAGATGAAATAAGAAAATGTTAATGGAGGCATTCCAAACAGAATAAAAAAAGGGTTTAGCCAATGCAAATATTAACAACTCGTTAGTGCACATAATAAAAAAAATTGGAAGCCAAAAATGAATGACCTAGGTCAAATAGACATTGGCCAATATATGAATGAAATTGAGTCACATTTTGTCTAGAATAGTTTTTGACGCAAATTAAAATGCATAGGATATACTTTCAGTAGACATGTCCTCATATTTTAAAAATATTTCTAAGATTTCTTGGCAATTGAGACTTGTAGCACTTAGATCTCTCCGAGTGACATATGTTATAGAGAGTAATAGTGGTTTAAGCTAAAACATTAATATTTTTCAAAATACCCCTCTATAGTAAGACAAAGATTTCTAAAATAATATTGCTCTAAAAATAGTATTAAAAAGGCAATTCTGCTATCTATCACAAATGTATAGACAATTTTTATTTTTCTCTTGTATCAATACTACTATAAAAAGTATCTTAGCATGAAAAAATTTTAATTTTCTATTTTTTCCCTATAAAATATTATAAAGGTTGTGGGTGCAAAAATTGTCCAAACCTTTACGATAATATATTCAATGCATCGATGATATTATGTCAATATTGATGACATGATATCGTCAACCAATAATAAAACTTCAAATAGGTAAAGTAAACCCCATTTAGATAGTTATGACTTACATGGGAAAAAAGTGGGTAGTTATTGACTTACATAGACAAATAGTTATTGGCTTGTGTGGAGTCCATTTTTTTATTTATTTTTACATTATTGGTTAGTGATACCACGTGACAATATTAACGTGGTATCATTGTTGCAATGAATATTTTTTTAACCTTTACTCCTTTTGGGGAAGGGGAGTCTTTTGAATTACAAACTGATAGAGAGACTAAGACTCCTCTATGAGAAGTCTCAACCCTTCTTCCTTTCGAACGTGAACTGTTAACTCTAACCAGAAGACCTTTTGATTTTCAAACATTGTATAATCTTATCTTTCTAATTCTCTTTATGAGCCAACAAGGTGGGGCAGAGTTGATTACAAGGATTGAATATGCTCTGAGCTTTCCCCGTTCACCTTGGAGTTTAATAGCTCGTCTAACGGTAACTTTCAAAATAGGCACCCTCTGTAAGAATTTTCTTGATGGTGTATTTAATTTTTTCCACATTAGTTTCCCCTAATTAGGTCTGTCTAACGTGGTTTGATCATGCATCATGTTTTCAGTTACTTTTTGTTTATTATTTTTTTGGGAAATGGAAACTGCTTAAGTGGGCATATATTGTCAGTTTAAATGAGGCAGCTTCTTGTAATGGTCATTCCCTGGGCTATTTAAGCCTTCCAGATCTCTAGTTCAAGAATTCATCTAGCCTTAAAAATCCTTCATTGCTCTTAGCGATTTGAATTTCCAATCTTTGCTTCATGGTTCTAGATTTTCAACCCTGCCAGATCTCTAGTTCAAGAATTCATCTAGCCTTAAAAAATCCTTCGTTGCTCTTAGCGATTTGAATTTCCAATCTTTGCTTCATGGTTCTAGATTTTCAACCCTGGAATTTTTTGGTTGGCTTGTTCCTTTTTAATTTGTCTTTAATAGTTTCTTCTTTCTTTCTTAAAGGTTTTCTTTGAAGAACTTAGGACTTTTCTTGAATCCCTAATCGACTGCTCTTCTTGCGAAGATCTCTAATTCTTGTTTGAATTTCCTTTGACTTTCTCCTTCTTCGTTCTAGTTCTTCATAATTGTCTTTTCCATATGGCTTCTGAGGGAACTTTGTATGATCTTGTACTATAATTACATAAAAAAAATTATATTAAGAGTCTTCTTGTGAAGATCTATTATTCTTACTTGAATTTCCTTCGATTCTCTAGTCGACTCTCTCCTCCTTCGTTCTAGTTCTTTATAATTGTCTTTTTCCTATGGCTTCTTTGTAAGACCTCATACTATAATTACATAAGAAGAATATTATATTAAGAGAACTTCTAAAATGATAATAGAAATCTTAAATCGTTGTTGAAAGATTGATTATGAAGTTTAAGTTTCACGCGAATTTACTTTTCGGGTCAAACTTAGTTTCGGATGCATTTAAGCTTGAAAAGGGTGGTTAGACAAGCGTCTAATTATTTTCAAGTCAAAATAAGGCTACCATGAGAGGTACAAATAGGATATGTCCTGACCTCTAATTCGTTTGTATCAAACATCTTCTCTTTCATATTGTCTAGTGTTCTCTATTCTCATGTTTTTATAGTATTTTCTTCCTTGTTCTTCTTTGTATAATATTATCTAGTGTTCTCTATTCTTGCATGTATTTAGTATTTTTCTTCCTTGTTCA